CAGTTTTGCATTTACTTACTGGTGTGCATGTTGTTCCTATGTGAGCTCATCCAAGACAGGGATTCTTGCATTTGAGGGTTTGTGTGCCCATTGCCTCCCACTGTGCCAGGCCAACAGTAGGCATTTAATAAAGTACTAAATTGAATCAAATTAAATCCTCCCCCAGTTGCTAGGATTCTCTCCTCCTTGCATTTACTTTAAATCTTTTTCCTTTCTCTGAGACCTGGCTCCCTCCTGATGACGCTGCAACCTCAACCTCCCTTTTTCAATACTGGTTGTACCTTCACTCATCCCTGTCTCCCATCCTCCCACCCCACAACTTGCCAGTCACGATAGGAGAGACCAATGCTTCTTGCTCCCCATTGTCACTTACGGACTCTCTCTTCACCAGGTCACTCAGTAGCTCTCCCCCTTTGAGGTCATCCAATCCATTTTTATCACCCAATCTGGATTCTGGTGGTGTCCTCTCAGCCCCGGGGGCATCTCCTTTCTTCAGTGACCTCAGCTCCAGGCTCACAGTATCTCTCTCCCCTCTGACCCCGAGTCTCATATTAGGTGGCGATGCTCACTCTTGGTTCTTCAAAGTCCTCAGTTCCCGTGACCCAGTCCTCCATCACCCACATAGATGGCCATACCCTTGACCTTGCCATTCCCCACAAGGGCTCCCCTGCAGTGGTCATGAACTCCACAATTCCTTTATTTGATCACAATATTTTATCATGCTAACTTTCCCTTTTCCTCGTGATTCCAGACTCTGTTCTTCATCTTCACCATGACTATCGATTCCTCCAGCCTCAGAGTTCTCCCAGGCCATCACCCCTGCACTGACCACACTATCCTCCCTTCCCTATCTTGACCTCTTGTTACATTTTACACTGTCCTCCATACTCAAGTCCCATGCCCTATCACCAAGCTCTCCTCAGCAAACCCCAAGCTTGGATTACTCCCACCAACCACTGTATTCACTCCTATTCGTGTGCTGCTGAACAGATCTGGAGAAACTCAGAAAATTTTGCCAAGTGGGTCCCCTTCCAATGTATGTTATCTAATCTCGACGGGGCCCCACTGCAGCAAAACAGTGCTTTTAAACCCCCTAATCAATTCACTGCACTGGTTGTTCCAGACCTTCTCACCTCTACTCAAAATTTCCATGCCTCTCCCTCCCCCTCTCCTATCAGCTGAGGACATTGCTTCATACTTAACCAAAAAAAAAAAAATGAGGCCATTCACCAAAAATTCCTTCTTCTCCCCTCCTCCTCATCTCACATCACTCAGATGCCTTCCCCCACTATCTCCTCCTTCACCCAGCTTACATATTGCAATGACCCTTCTCCCTGACAAGGCAGACTCCTTTACATACACAAGTAATCCCATTCCAGCCCATCTTCTGCAGCAGATTCCCCCTCTACCATCCCCACTCTGTCTCTCTCCAGTCTTCAGTCCCGGCCTTTCTATTGGCTCCTTCTCTGCTCAGTGCAGGAGGTCTCTCATCTGCAGACATGGGAAAGCTAGCCCTCCAACCAACAGTCCTTCATTTCCCAACACCTGTACCCCCAGGGACTGTTACGAGCAGAGAGTTCATTCTCTCCTTAATAGAGCTGAGGTTTTCTCTTCCTTCTGAGTTGAAAAGCACATGTGCCCCCTCTATATTCTATCTTCTTCTCTAATCTGGTAACTTCCCCAAATTCTGTTTCCTGTGTGCTGGGATGAATGTGACTGCTTGCTTCCAGAGACTGACTTTAATGTAATCAGTAAAGGAAGGAGAGAGAGAAGAAGAAGGAGAAGAAGAAGAAGAAGAAGAAGAAGAAGAAGAAGAAGAAGAAGAAG